TGAATGGGGGCAGAGACTGAGAGAGTATCCGTAGTGTACGAATAGTCCAGTGTAATAGACCGCAGAATGCAGATTTACTAGCGGGATGAAACAAGCATGCATGCACGGCTAAGGTAGGAGGAGGATACGGACCATTGGAACGGCGCCAATGGTGCATCTAACGTGTCTAGGATACAGTAATGTTCTCCGAGAGAGGCAAAGAGGAGGAGGACATGGAGCCTGGAGGAGAAGACGAAAGGACGGGACGAGACGAGACGAGACGAGAAGCCAGGGTGGACCATGTGTGGTCTTACCATAAGTAGTAGAAGTACCTGCCTGCCTGCACTAGCAGGTCGGACGGAAAATCAGTTGAGTCGAGTCGTCTCGTCTCGTCAATGATGAATGACAATGGAAAGGACACAGGTCAGAACAAGACGGCAGCCAGACAAGAGCCAAATCTTGCTGTTCCATTCTCATTTTCCACTGGTGGGTGGTGACTGACTGGCAAATGGCAAGTCCCCTGCTTGGCTCCTGCGTCGGGGATGGTCCTTGTTTGAGGTCAGTGCTTGGGGCGTGGAGCTGTCAGCCCCTGGTCAAAGAGGCGTTGGGGAAAGAGCCAGGGCAGGCCACGACAGGACAGGACAGGCACACACCGCGCTGCGCTGTCGACACCACACCTCCACCGACCGAACTCGGTGTCTTTGCCCGTCCGAGGCAAGCCAGTTCTTGAACACCACCACCACCACCGGCACCCAGGCCACGCAGGGGAAACGCGCAGCAAGGAAACACTGGACGGACGCAAGTGACGAAATCCAATGTCAAGAATGAATTGACATTAGCCGGAACGTGCGCGCATGCCCGTTATCCGATGATTGCGCACCTCACTGTCTGAGTCTCACTCTCGGGCGCTCCCTCCTCGCCGTCGAGGGGGGAAGACGTATGAGCGACGCGAGGGATGCCAGGAATGTGGGCGAGCAACACCCAGAAAACATGCACCCATATGAAGTTGATACCATCGTGTGCCTGAGCCCGTCCCTGCCCAGGCCAGGTGCGTCGATCAAGGGAACCAAAGGCGACATTCATCGAGCTACTATTCTAAGGTACCTTTCAATAGCAAAGTGCGAGGATGGATGCCTCGAATTGGGGGCCGATGTTGTTAGATCGTTGCCTTTGCAAAGTCAAAAGTATAATTGATATTCCACCGAAGACGTAGTATTCGTGCTAATACTGCGTAACTCTGTCCCAAACCCCAAAACCCCAAAACTCCAAATACTTCACACCCGTCTGTGTCAGAGCCTCAAGGCAAAACGTGTAAGCCCGCCTAAAATAAGTCATTGTGATCCACGGGCCTCGCCTTTCACCGGCTCAGCAAACTCCACCTGCTGTCCCGTTGCCAGTCCACTGCACGACTCACTCACCTTCACCTGCAGCCTGCAGTGACAGCTGTACGATGAGGAGGAGCTCGAGTGGGGTGACGCGACTGCCTCCTCCCCGGGCATTTGTGAAGCTTTCTCTGTCTTTTTTTCCCTCCTTCTGAGCTGGCCAGTCCAGTGACCGTTTCCAACTGCCCAGCTAGAATCCACCTGTGCTCCCCCGGTCCTCCCGGATCCAATCCAATCCGGTCTGCTGGTCCGATTTTGAAGCCATGCCGCTTTTGGGGCTGTGTTTCAGTCTTCTTTCCTTCCTTTTTTCTTTCCTTTCCCATGGGGCCTGTCGAGGGAAGGTGCTCCCGCCTCTCGTCCCGCTAATGGTCCGTGTCGTTGTCGTCCAGTGTGTGTCCAGTGTTGACTTCACAATGTTCCGCATCACACCTCGACCCAACCTCACCTTGCCTAGTAGGAACAGACGCCTTTTGAGCGCGCTTTTGCGGAGTGTGGGCTCTCGATGCTACCATCGCACTGTTATTACCACTCTGCGCGGATAGATTCGATTTCAACCACGCCCGCCAACCCAGCGCCTGGCGTTGTCGCTACCAAACCCCGGCTCTAACCCCGACTTGAATCGCCCAAAGTCAGCTCCCACCACCAGCCAGCCTTCACCAGTCTCAGTATCAGGCTTTCCCCCCTAGTCGCTCATCATGTCAAGTCGAGGTCAAAGCCACCCTTCCCTGAGGGCTGATGGCGCCAACACCACCTTGACAATCATGTCCTACCTGCTACTGACCTCGTCGAAGAATGCACCAACGGTGCTGGAATCTTCACCCGACATGGCGTCCCATATGCCACCATCCAAGTCGTCCTCCGCCAACTAGTCACCCAATATCGTGACACGCCGCCCGGCGCCAGGGACGACAAACGCCTTCCTTACCCCAATGAGAAGCTAGCGAGGAGTTCGGCAAACGGAGCGCTGGTTTTTCAAGGATTCTCTAGCCATCGGCACTAACCTCTCTGGTGGGTGTGGCCGTTGGCACTATCTCGTTTGTGGCCGACATTTGGCCTGCCACTCTGCTTCGCTGCCGCCGCTATCGAGACTGACACCGATGGCTTGATCTGACGGGCGATTCTCCAACCACCCGTTGTCTTGATGATGGCGCTAGGACTAGCTCGTCGAGAGTAACGCAAGAGATGTGATCGCTCATGTCACCGTCGAATCGCATTGCAGCCTCCAGCCGCAGACTGCAACGGAGCCTTCCTCTCCTGGGATCGCTACAACCACATGCCACGTCCTCATGCACTCACCTGCCTGCGTTTATTCTTGGAACACAACAGCTGCCGTCCAGCCGCTACTATAGCCTGCAAAGCAGACGCAAAGCAGACCCTTCACCAACACGCCGCCCCGATAGGATACCGCCCATCACTTGTCATGTTTGGTTCTCGAGAACTACTGCATACGACGACCAGCCTCTACCACCGCACTCCATCCCTCCGACGTGCAGCTTCGCGAAGAGAAAAGGCGCCCACTAGCGCGCAGGTCGACCCCACATCGCAGACCCAAGAGGCTAAAACACCACATGGCCCAGAGGCCCACGTCCAACGAGCGCCGCCCCTATTGTCTGATGTTGTCTGCCTATTCAAATATCCCGGCTCCTTAGGCCAGATCTGGAGGCCATATGTCGACCACTTCGCGACCCGGACAACCAAGACGCCAGATCCCCGTATCGACAACTATTTGCTTACTCAACCTGTCCCTCAATGACTCGCGAGTGACTTCCAGGCTCTGGCAGTGGTTGTTAGAATGCCACATGGCAGAGCTGCTCCAATGAGCGCTTTTTTGGACTACGATACCCTGCCACAGCCTTTTCTTGGAGACCAAATGCCTACGAGGGTACGGTCTATCTATGGTTGACTACATTGGCATGCCAGCCAGCCAACCCCAGGCCTAGTATGCACGAATGGCACGACTTTACCGCTCAAAAGCCGCCGTGCCGTGCCATCGCGGACAACATGATGCGGTAATTGTGGCTGCAGGCGGAGAGTCACGCACACGCTCACACTTTGTCCCCGCGGCACCCAATACAACCCCGACCCAACACGAATTCTCGTCGCGCGTCCGGCCACAGTTTGATCGGCTCGCTGAGTGGGGTCCCCGGCGGAGCATCATATAGCGAGGCACCCGACTTATGATCTCCCATCACCTGAAGGCTCGGCGACGCCATATTGATCGAACATAAGATGCGGCGCCGCCGGCAACTTCGAGCAACACCTTGTCGTTCCCCGACTGCCACCGTAAAGTGTTTGTCAGTGCTCTTCAGGCTGCCGGGGCATATGTCTCATTGAGGGTTCAGGGCCCCGGGAATGGAGTTGTCTCATAATGACGGGGACGAACCGTTCAGCCGGGTACTAGTGTAGAACGGAGGACGATATTATTGTTCACACAAGTCGTCTCGGTCCACCCGACTAGACACCACGTTTGTGGTAAGATTTGCGTCAAAATAGCCTTCAATTTCGAAAGCCAGCCGGCGGACACATAGTCCCGATATGCCACCAAGAGGGGCCACATCCGGGCGCGGCACGCGCGATCATTCGGCAACCATAGATCCGGGAGACATCTTCTAGCCTCAACCACGTTGTAGTGCATGATGGAGCGACTGTTGGGTCTTCTGCGATGCATGCTGTCACTAATAAACTGCCAATAACAAACACGAAAGACGCACGAACTTGGTGCACAACATCAACAAACAAATGGTTCGCGGAGAGGGGATGATTGTCCACTGTTTCGCTTCTGCAGCGGATCCTGCATCATATCCAAGACGTCGACAGGACCCCAACAAGAGGCAAAAGACGGCATCTCACGCCAAGGCGTGAGAAAGATTGGCTCCTTGCTGAAAACTCAATGGCTGCGGCTGACACTGAGTCCGCCGCATACTCGAGAGTTTTGGGAAATGTACCTTCCACAGCCCCAACAACACCGCAAAATCCTACGCACAAACTGGACGGAGAGCGGCCAAAAAAACGCGTTCAAGTCGAGCAAAACCACAGGCCCCTGTCCTCGGTAGGAGAATTTGGCGGGTCTGGCCACGCAGGACAAGGATTACACAGACGACAAAGGTAACCTGAAACATAGAGACAAGGGTTGCTTCTTCGTCTGATCAGTGACGGCTGACATCTGCGGTCCGTCCACACTTCCCTCTGGTCTTTTTTTCCATTCGGTCGACCCAAGAAACCTGGGCCCTGGCGCCTATCAACTTGCGTCAACGGACACTCCCTACCCCGTAATCCCCAGTAGGTCATGGACGAGCATTGGTTGGCCGCGGGTGTGCTGTAAATTCTACGATACGCCACGCCAAATGCACACACAATGCCGCCTGTTCCCTTTTGGGAAGCCGTTGGAGACGGGGGTTCCAGGGCGTCGCCGCGCATAAGAAGCCATCCCAGCTCGTTCACGGCCCTTCCAGACGACCCACGATACCGAGGAAGCCGGTTCGTCGGTGTTCTAGATCATCTGGTCTCTTGCCGCGAATGATATTCTTTCGTCGCATAAAGGTTGACATTGAAGGCGGCCTGCATGGAGGTGGGCCATGCGTTCTCACCAGCCACCACCATCATTAACCCGCGGCCTCCCACCATCCCAAATATGGCATCTCAAGACCCCTGGAGGGTTGACAAGTCGGGATAACGCAGATCTGCATTCTCTTCGAGGAAATCCATCCATCTCTTGAGGAATGCGCTACCTCTGTTTGTATTGATGCAGCGGGTTAGCAAAAGAAAAGAAGAAACAGGCCCGAGATTTCGGGCGTTTGGTGCGGCTCAGCAGTGTCTCAGGATAACATCTGTGCAGCAGCGGTTCGCCCGCAGCCCGACACGCCAACACCCAGAAATCCTCCGACCGAGAGACAAATGGAAAAGAAAGGAGAACAAGTCTCAAACGCACTCACCTCTTGACTGTCTCCGAATCACCGATCACCGTCAGCGAGCGTTTGGGTCGCGTCATCGCCACTAAACCGCATTAACAATCATGCGCCCTTAATAGCCCAGCTGGGATGTTCCCAGACGGCGAGCTTGGTGACCTCCTGAGCTTACCGTTCAGTCGGCGCTTCTCGCCCAGGAACCCTACTTCTCCCTCGGAGTTGCTCCGTACAAGGCTGACAATGACGGCCTCCTTTTCGCGGCCCTGAAAGCCATCTACACTGCCCAGCTCGATGCCCGGGAACTGCTCCTTCAGGGGCGCGAGAATGGCGAGCTGTTCGGTTCATCCGATGTCAGCTTCATGCTGCGGCTGCGTCCCATGCTTTCACCCCCTTGCAGCTCGTGTCCACGACTTCGAACGACCCAGGGAATCCAGTCCAGAACTTACCTGAGCGTTATACGGGGTCACGACAGCAATGTCCTCGGGCTTCACGCCAGCATCAACCAAGCTTTGGGCGTGCTGCCGCACCAAAGCCGCTTCCATTTCGTTGCTCTTGCTTTCACCGTGGAGGCTGAATTTGGCCTTCTTGACGGCATCCTTGTCGTCGTCCTCGCTCTTTTCCGGGTAGTCGCCTCCCTGTGTGTCGATGAAGATGAGTGGCTCGTTGGTGTCTTCGGTATCCTGGACTTCGTAAGGCAAGTCTTTCAGGAGACGCTCTTTGACTGCTTCTGCAGCGATCAATCTTCCATCGTATAGCTCGTCTGATGGAAACCTCATAATCTTCTCATGCATGCGGTATTGTGTGGTGAGCATCCGCTTGATGGATGACCCATGCAGGGCGAGCAACCTGTCAAACAGAGTCGTTTCCAACGTCATTCCCTTGATTTGCTTCTCTCCTGCTCCCTCGGCCAGAACCTTCTTCACTTTTGAGTTGAGCGACTTGATCGTCGGCGGGAGCTGCAAGTGATCGCCCGCGCAGACCGCCTTCTTCGCGGACAGCAGGGGCACCCAGCACTGCGCTTCGAGCGCCTGGCTGGCCTCGTCGATGATGACAACGTCGAACTGCTGGTCGCGGAGCTGGTGGCCGCCCGCTCCGTGCAGTGTCGCAAGGACGACCTTGCTCTCGCGCACGAGGTTGCTCACACAGCGGCGCTCGCGCTCGCGGAACTCCTTCCGGAGCTCCTTGAGGTCGCCGTAGATTTGGCGTCGCTCGCGGCCGTTGCGCGTCTTCTTGATTGAGGCCTGCTTGGCGTCCATCTCGGCGCGGACGTCCTTGACGATGGCGCCGGCTTCGGAGGTCTGGGTGAGCACGTCGAGGGAGTGGGCGACGACGCTGGGGAGGAGACGGGCCGGGTGACCGAGGCGGAGGATGGGGATCTTGTGAGGTGCCAGGCGCTCGACGATGTTGTCGACGGAGATGTTTGAGGGACCACACACGAGGATGCGGAGGTCGAGCTTGAGCATCTGGAGAATGAGCTCGATCAGTGTGTGGGTTTTGCCAGTCTGTCCAGTGTCAGTTTGTGCCTTCAGGTGAGGGGGGCGGAGGAGACTCACTCCTGGAGGCCCGTGAATGAGTGCGACTTCTTTTGACGCGAGCGCGAAGCGGATTGCGTCCTTTTGCGAGTCGTTGAGCGAGGGATCGATCCATTGGATCTTGGAAAGCTCCGAATCGGACGCGAGATCTGAAGGCACGGGGCTTGGGCTCGAGAGGCCGAAGAGAACGCGCATGAAGGAGCTGTACTCGGCCTCTGTCATCTTCTCGAGCTTCTCCATGGTAAGGTTCATTCTGTCTCTCGTCAGCCTGATGCTCTCACTCCCCGACTGTGACGGCCCCTCCCCCGTGCAAAGTGACATCTCATGTGAATGCCGCTCTTCCTCCGTGGCGGGGCCGGGATGAGGCAAGTCTCACCTCCGATACGTGACATCGTCGGCGACCTTGACGACCCAGACGCGCCCGTTAAACTCCCTCTCCTCGCCCTTCCCCTCGTCCACCGCGATGCCGACGCTCTCATGCCTCACTCTCGTGACGACACCCCTCGCGCCCTTGCTCTCAAGCTCCTTCACCTCCCTCTTCTTGGCGTTGCCGGCAGGCTGTTCGGACAGCAGCACGATGTCGCCCGGACGGAGGCCGTGCTCGGGCAGCTTGCCCTCCGCGGAGGAGGACACGGCCGGGTCCGGGTTGAGCTCGAGCACGGTGCGGCCGCCGAGGCCGGTCCGGCGCGCGCCGACGACGAGGTTGGAGAGGGCGAGGCCGGCGCGCTGGAGGGCCGTGGGCGAGTGCAGGGAGACGAGGGCGGAGGACTCTGCGATCTCGGCGGCGAGCTCCGCGGAGAGGAGGGAGAGCTGGGTTGCTGCGAAGGATTGCACCGAGAGGGTTTCTGCTTTCGGCGCCATGGTTGCGTGCTTGCGTGGTTTTGTCTGCCTCTGACTGTAAATTTGCTTGTGAGGGTTACAGAAGTGGGTGAAGCCTTGGGCAGGTACTGCTTGCAGATGGGTTTGAGGCTGAAGCAAGCTTGTGTGTGCGTGTGTAAGTGAGGTGGGATGTAGTTGAAAGGTTGTGAGCTGAAGGCCCACATGTAAGGTCCAGGTTTGTTTTGACGTCATCTGATAGGCTGCAGTGGGAAAGTGGTTCAAGTTGGAGAAAGTGACAGCTGCTCTTGGTATATACTCTTTATGCTTTTTTTGCGTTTATGCACAGATTTGGTGTTCATTAGAAGCTCGTTCCTACGTATATGGTACAGATAATGATGATAGATGCAAGTCCAAACGCCTGATACCAGATTCCGGTACAATGCAAGCCAGCCCCCCTCCCGATGAAGTATGTGCATGCAAACATGATATCGAAATAGCACCAACTGAAGGTTCGTCGACATTTACTTTTCGTTGCCGGTGGGGCCGACTACTATGACAACCACCAAGCTCACCGCCATGAGGGCGAATGCCACCATGGACACGATGATGATGGTGCCTCGGCTCGCGGGGAACTTGCCCTTCATGACCCATTGCTGGGCGCGAAAGTAGCGCTGGTATCCGAGGAAGAGGATCAGAATGCTGATGCCGAGGAAGGTCGCGCCTAGCGGCTTGCCGAGCTGGCGCAGAGTGTGGCTGCTGGAGTCGGGGTTGGAGATGGATGAGTTCAGGCGGAAGAGTTGCGTGACAGCAATGCCGATGGAGGCGAACGCGAGGGAGGTACGGAGCCAGGCAAGAAAGGTTCGCTCTGCAGGACTGTGGTAAGCTGTCGTGTTTGCTGCAAGCCTGGAAAAAAGAAGCACGTACCTAACGCCAAATGGTCTCGGGCCACGCTTCCCTTGTTCTCGAGCTCAATGCTCTGGAAGCTGGACAGGAAGATGGTGTACCACGGTTCCTTCAGCTGCGCCGCCCTCGCCCGTTCCTCTCGCGCGACCACGGCATCGTAATCCTCCTCGTCCTCTTCCGTCTGCGAGGGCAGGTGGTTGTGTGTGGTGCGAATGGACTTGCGGGGCCGCAGCTCGGGCGCCGTAGCTGTGGCTGTTGGCGCCGGGGGCGCGGCGTTCATGCTCTGGTAGTTGCGGTCTGGGCCGCGGGAGATGATGCCGACGGTCTCATCGTGAGTGCCGTCATCCCGGGAGTAATGGCGCGGAGGGCTGGCGGGGGCGGACCTGGAGGCGGAGAGTGCGCCGCCCATTGCTTCTGCGCGGCCTCTTGCGTTCTGTTCGGCGCCGGGGTGGGCGCGTTGTCAGCAAGGGCACACACGGATGGGGTGACGGGGGGGCGGGAGCGGGAGTGGGAGTGGGAAGCTGGAGAAGAACCGGGCGGGAACGGGGAAGAAACTGGGGACAGAATTGAAGGGTCCGGGAGGGTTCTGTATGAAAACGGGGACTTCAAAGAATTGAGCGGCTGGAATGGTCGGTGCCAAGCAGCGGCAGGGTGGTGGACGAGAGGTCCCACAGTTGAAGGTTTTCGGCCGAGATGGCTAGATGCAAAGGCGAAGCGAGAGGAGACATACCTCTAGTATTTCGTTGATGCGCTCGTTGGTGCTTTGCCTCCGGGAGAGGGAGCGCGGCGACGTTGGCGAGCGCTCATCGTAGGACACGCGCCTACTTAAGCCTCGCGGTGGCGGCGGTGTAGTGGATGACGGGGATTGCACCTGCACCTGGTCTTGCTGGGGATCAGATGAAAGAGGAGGAGGTGGTGGTGGGAGAGGAGGCGCGGCGGCCGAAGGTTGTGGTGCATCATCGCCGGCGGGCGCCATCACGACCGAGACAAGGGCGACTTCTGCATGTCCCAGACCCAGATCGAAGATGGTCTGGACGATGGTGCCTCACGCGAGAACAGGGGTCGTGTGACGTGATCAGAGGCCAAAGGGAAAAAGTCGCCTGTATATAAAAAAATAAAAACAAAAGAGAAGCTAAGGTTTCTTGGAAATTTTTGGGGGTCTCGAGGTGGGATCTCTGCAATCGGCAACGGGCAGTAGGTCGCGGCTGCTGGAGGTGCGTTAGGGCGGTTTTCCTGATGCACTATGCTGGAGTCCAAGTTCCCTTGCGGCACGGGAGTCGGGCGGCTGCGTCTTGAAGCCGGCAGCCGGGAGGAAACGTGGGGGAACTGGACCTACCTTAAGGATTTTACCGGCGTCTTTGGCGGCAAGAACGGGCAACCTTAGCAGAGAGGAAAGTTTGGGGAAACTGGCAAGAGCTGTTCTCTCTCAGCTTGGTGGTCTCACAATGGGACGGGCTTTCCATTCACGTGGGCTTTTAAAGAAGGGGGGACCCCATGACATAGCGTCCGACCCTCCCACCATCTTCTGGCTGGATTGTCACTGTAACGGGCCCGGCGCTTCTGGTTGGTCGCCGACCATCTCAACCTTGGAACAGTGAGATCTGGGGGCGGGCTCCGTGATCTACCCCGCCACACCACGGGGACCAATGCCCTCACCAATCGGAATCATCAAACCCGCATCACGACTGAATCATCTCCAACAACACTATCAAGGGTCCTGAGAATAATAGTGTCTCTTCTGTGAGACTCTGTAATGTAAGCCCAAAGTCTGTAGCGAAATGGCAGTGTAGTGTACTAAGTAGCACCTTGGCAATTACTGTGAGAGCTGCAACGTGGTAGTGGCATGGCTGACCAAGATTCAGTCTCTATGACGAACTAGCTTGTCTCTATGTAGTAGTTCGCTCATATTCATACTTGTCTTAACTCACTTCAATAGAGCGTTCTGGCGGTCTCAGCTGAAGCAGGAACATGCCCTACTTATGTCCTCAAGAGTAAAGATAGTTTCAGGATGCTTCATCTGGGGTCCCCAATGCCCACATAGGACACGCATATACACACACATTCAGCTAGTTGCTCTTACGATCATCCAAAAGCTGGATGGAAATAACCGCGAGCGTATTGATCCCGTATCTACGTTGGGGCTCTTCTTTTGCTGGCTGGCAAGTCTCTACTCCCAGTTTGTGGGCGGTATAAGTCCGTGGAAAGAATAGACCGAGGAAAGGAACAATGAAGAGCAGACAGGCTTGGAGATGAGACGACGTAAGGCCTTGTTGTTACCTACGGAACAGATGCGTCTCGTTCCGTCGAAACTTTGAGGCCTTGGACTGCCTGCACGCAGCGTCTTGCAACTTGATTTTGACCAGTCTTCGAAGAGGGGTAGGAGGCACTGTTCTGGAGAAGGGCGAGTAAAGACTCGTCCAAAAACCGAGAGGCATGGCCACGCAGCGTCTGGCTAAGTCGGTCTATATCTTCCGGAAAGTCCGCGTTCTCCGGTAAAGTCAGAGTCAACGACAGAACCTATAACAGCCGGAAGGCAATGCCATGAGCGAACGGCAGCTCGGGAGAAGATCTAAGCGGCGAATGCCAATTGTGGAACTTGCCCGCACGCTCCATGATTCATCGACGATGTATTGTCGTTGATAGTTGTTTGCCCTCGGCAGTTCATCTCCAACTGGGGGTTGTGAAGTATGTTCCAACAGGCAGTATCTACCGTGCAACGCCTTGCCAGAAAGCCTCGAATAAGTAGTCATGCCATTGGCGGTAGTTATGGGTGGAGGAGCATGTCAGCATGTAAAGGGACACAGTCACCGACTTCCGGAGCGGACGCTGCTTTGGCCCTGACGTATGTCACCTACTCAAGCTGGTCAACCAGACTGATGGAGCTGAAGAGACTGCCCTTTTCCCCGATTGCCCCGAGAGATTGGTCACTCACAGACACTAGTCCTTCATCATTCATTCTCATTGAGTGTGGGCTTACTTGAAAAGCCCAACAGCATTTACTTCATCTCCCTCCCCACTCCGAATCGACCGCGCGAATACATACGCAGCCTCCATGCCCTTCGGCCCACAACCTGCGTGCATGTGAGGGAAGGCTGTCTTGCCCATGTTGACGTACATCAGATACATGTGGCCGGATCTCGAAGCAGATTCGTCGCTACCGATAGCCTCCAGATAAGCCCGCCTCATCCACTCATCCACATCCGCAGGATGCATCGGAGTTTTCGTCCAGGAATCCTTGATAGGAAGCCAGGAGATGGTGGTGTGAACGAGCGAACCGGCGACTACCACATGACAGATGCGGTGATAGAAAGGAACGCGCTGTGACGCCTGGACGTTGAAGGTCTGGTATTCCACCGACGAGGACGGGAGGCGTGAGAGGCCGAGATGCGCGTGCCACTCTACACCAGCCGCGCGAGGCAGCTCCTCGACTTCGACCGCGAAGAACGGGGGCACCGGCTTCGCTGCTTCGTCTTCATCGTCCGTCTCGTTCTTGACGACGGACCAGTCGGGAAGTTTCTGCTCCTTGGCAGCATCCTCGCCTCCAAGCGACATGTATTGGGGGTTGTACTTGCGGTCCCAAAGATCTGGGCCGCCCTCATCATCCTCGTCCTCGTCGCCGCCGGGAGCGTGCGCTCCCGTCCAAGCTGTGGCAGCCAGATGTGCCTGACGCCGCGCGTCTGCCTCTTTGGGGGTATTGGGAAAGTATGCTACCGCACTCGCCCACAGCTGCACCTTCATCTCAGTGGCTATGCGCCAGAGATGTTGCAGAGAGAGCACAATCTGCATCTCCAAGTTGCCTGTTGTCTCCGTGGGGAGAATCATGCTGGCTGGCACGAGCGGGATCTGGCCTGCGATAGTAATTTGCCTCACGCCGCTCGCCGTCGTCTCGACCTTGCTCAGGGGCACATCGATAGCCTGGCTGTAGGGGCCGATATTCGCTGGCGCCCAGTATGACCTGCCTTGAACGTGAAGGCCGTTTCGATCCCGCTGCTCCAAATCAGGCTTGACAGTGAAATGAATATTGATGGAATGGCCTTTGGGGAGGCTTCCACAAGAGATTGTGACGCGGGACGGGGGATTCGGGTGCTGGAACAGGCTGCCATAAATCTTGTTGATGGCAGGGAAATCCGACATCTGCC